TTATTGTTGATAGCCTTCTGGCAGGTGTGAGGTGATACCTTGTAATTTTAATCTGCATCTCTCTGATGATTAGTGCCATTGAGCATTTTTTCATACTTTTCTTAGCCATCTATATGTCCTCTTTCAAGAGTCTATTGATGTCTTTTGCCCATGTTTTAATTGGATTGTCTTCTTTGTATTGAGTTATACGTTCTTTATTTATTTTTGAAATTAACCCCTTATTAGATGTATCATTGGCAAATATATTCTCCCATACAGCGGGATCCCTTTTCATTTTGAGGATGGTTCCTTTTGCTGTGCAGAAGCTTTTTAGTTTGATATAGTACCATTTATTTTTTTCCTGTTTCACTCTCTTAAGATGTTGTTTTCGTTGAAGCCTTAGAAGAAAATTCAGCCTCATGTGACTATTCCGCACTACCGCATCAAAACTCAACAAGTGCTAGTTTCTTCAAAGTTAGTTGCAATGTGGTCACTGAAATCATATTAGTGAAATTTTGGTATTCTGTTATATGAAAATCCACTGGTCTATCTTGCACTTTAAATTCATAATTCTATAATATTATGCATTGGTAATTTGGTGATACTGGTTTGCTGAATTATACAAATCTTCCAAATATTGTCACATTTCATTATATAGCATCAAAAAATTCCACTTGTTCACATCACCACTAGTCATATCAGCAACATCTTTAAGTAGAGGAAGATGTCATGGTCACTGAAGAATACAAGTTTTCTAAAATTCTAATTTTTGCTTGAGGACTTGAATTTTATCATTGGTGACAAATACTGTCAGTTATTTCCTGAAGGTGGCTCACTTAGCTGACTTCTGAGAAATGTATGGCAAATACTCAATATTCTGAATACCCCGTTTACCTGTCAGTTGTTCTTTCAAGCAAAAGTGGATTCAACAGCGTTGTTCAGCTCACAACTCGACCGCACAAGTCCTTTTTGTGTGCTCCCATAGCCACAACGGAATATTTAAAAGATATATCCTTGAGGGCTGAGATTAATAAAATTAGTAATTTTTAGATGCCTTTATCAAGGACATTCTTAAGTGAACTTGGCTTTTTCTACTGCAAGTGCATGGTGCCACTGCTTTGGATCACGTTAAGTAAGGTGCCAGCAGATTTACCTACATTTACCATAAGTGCAAATGTCAACACAGTGAAAAGGAAATTAATGTCTTAACGCTATGAAAACAAGTTTGACCATCTGGCCCCCCGAAAGACTGCTAGGGACTCCCCTGAGAGTGGACAATGCTCTGAGAACCATTGGTGGGCAAGATATAGGCTTTGGAAAACGAGTCAAACTTTGATAGAACGAAGAAGAGTGGGAATATCAAGAACAGTCAAATGTGAGGTATATCCAAGGGACAGTGGGTAGGATGTAGGTCTGGTGGAAAGAGGGAAGCCGAGACAGATAAAGCTGAAAAGATACTACAAAGGCCCAGCGTGCCTTCATGATGAACAATTAGGTTTAAACAAGACGGGGGGAGCCCAGGGTGAGTACTTTTTGTTTTGTTTTGTCATTGAAAGTTGTAGTTTCAACTTATATAAAGATAAAGCTGGCCACATTCACATCTACTAGCTATATAAAAAAAATAACACAGCTGCTTTTCTCATAGGGAATGAAAAAATAAACATGTGGTCAAATGCTTTGCTGTAAAAAACATGCTACACTTTTACTTCGGTTTATTATTTTCAGAAGGAAAAGCAGTAAGAACACATATAAGCATGTATTCTGCACTGAACACTTTCCAGTCACTTTTCCTATATCATTTAATACTTAAACTTACAAAGGAGATGTCACCATTTCATTTGGACAAATGAAACCCAAAAAGTTAAGTAACTTCCCAAGGGGTGTGACTTTCAACTCTGATTTTGTAACACTTCATACTGTCACCCATTATCTCAAGGCATTTGGGGAAAGTCTGAAAATAAATTTATCAACCACATGTATTTCTTTCTTTTCTTTCTTTCTTTCTTTCTTTCTTTCTTTCTTTCTTTCTTTCTTTCTTTCTTTCTTTTTCTTTCTTTCCCTTTCTTTTCTTTCTCTCTTTTCTTTCTCTTTCTTCCTTCTTTCCTTTTCTTTTTCTCTTTCCCTTTCTTTTCTTTTTTTCTCTTTCTTTCTTCCTTCTTTTTCTTTTCTTTCTTTCTCTTCTCTTTCTTTCTTTCTCTTTTTCTTTCCTTTCTCTCTCTCTCTCTATGTATATATGTATATATGTATCTATCTATCTATCTATCCCATGAAGTCTTCGAAAAAAGGGCACATATTTTTGCACTTATTTTGAATTATTTCCTCCTTTCAAGAACTATTTTCAATTTCTTTGTTAATCTTCACCCAAGGATACTTTTCCATTGATCTTTTGGGGGGCAGGGAGAAAGAAACACTGATGTGAGAGAGACACATCGATTGGTTGCCTCACACACTACCCCAACTGGGGCTGGGGATCGTTCCTGCAACCCAGGTACGTGTCATTTACCTGACTCAAACCTGCGACCCCTCAGTCCATGGACCAACGCTCTAACTGCTGAGTCAAACTGGCCAGGGCTCAAGAACTATGTTAAATAATAGGTAAAGCAGATTACTAGGGGTAGTGTGTTGGCTGACAGAGATTTTGTTAAAACATAACTGAGGAAAATCAACATTTGAAAGTTACTGTGCTAAGCATCATCAGAATACTTACTGGATACAAAGACCTTTTTAGTTTTTATTTTTAAATATCAGATCAATAAACAAAAGAAGAAAAGCAATTCAAAATCATAGTCTGACAACATCTTTCACCCATGAAAAGGATGCTGTACCACCATATCAACATGGCTTGTTCTTCTGGCACTTAGACCTAGATCCTTTAAATACCCACATTTTGTTAGACATGCATGTACACACACACACACACACACACACACACACTTATGGTGTGATTCTCCTCCCCAATGTAAATAAATAAATTCTCTGTTCAGTTGGATGGCTGGAAATGTTTTTGTTGACATTTAAAAAAAATTATCAAAATTATTTCAAATTAATCCCAACATGAATGTTTTACTATACAATAAAAATGTCACTAAATACAAAATAAAGCTATTTATTGTTTATTCATTTCTTGGTAGGATAGGGGTTAGAGAATATAATACAGTTCAAATAAAGCAGACACCTGGAATGACAAAAAGTAAGTACTTGCTAAAGGTAGAAAATTATTTTAAACATTGAAAACAAATGGGCAAAACATCTTGTAAATTTTATAGATTGTGCATTTTAAAATTATAGTTCATCAGAAACTATGCTTTCATCTATATTGATAAGTAATTGTATTTTGGCTTAAATGACAACTGGTAATAATTATCCCTTTGTATATAAACATAACATTCTTTCTATATTTTAGATTAAAATTTGTACAATATTAAAAAGCTTATAAAGTAAATTACAAACAAAAATGTGAAGTCATATACACATTTCTGACATTGGGAAATTATTACAATTGCTATGTTATAAAATGCCAAACAGCCTGGCTGGGGTGGCTTAGTTGGTTAAGTGTTGCCTTGTACACCTAAAGGTTGCTGGTTTGATTCCTGGTCAGGGCACATACCTGGGTTGCAAGTTTGATCCCCTGTCAGGGCGGGTATGGAAAGCAATTGATCAATGTTTCTCTCTATTTCTCTAAGCATGTCCTCAGGGTGAGAATTAAATAAATAAATAAATAAATAAATAAATAAATAAAATGACAAACACAGGCAATGTATCCAAGTGATAGGATAGTTATGATAAAATAATAAAAGTATATTTTTAAGTTAATAATTTAGTAAATTTGTTCATTTGAATACAAAGCAAACATCATCATTATGACTAATGTGACAAATTCCATAGGGTTCTGAATGTGTGAATCTTTTTGCTGTGCTATTTTTTTGAAATAGGTAACTTCAATCCGAATCCCCTTATGCTTCTGTATCCATTACAGTGGTAAAAATTTTAGGGAGTAAAACATTGAAAGATAAGATCTGTAAACACATTCTTTTTTTTTTTAATCCTCACCCAAGGACATTTTTTTGTTTTTTGTTCAGATAGAGTGGGAGGGAGAGAGAGGAAGAGAGAGAAGAGAGAGAGAAATATTGATGTGAAAGAGACACATCGAGTGGTTGCCACCTGCACGACCCAACCAGGGCAAAACTGCAACTGAGGTACATGCCCTTAGCGGGAACTGAACCAGGGTCTCTCTGGACCACAGGCCGACGCTCTAACCGCTGAGCCAAATCAGCCAGGGCTGTAAACATATTCTTAATACAAAAATGTGAGTATCTGCCACCAGAATATTTGTTCTGTTGCAATGCTAGACTTACTAGACTACGTTTTACACATGTGCAAATGTGTCATGTCTAGGAGAAGGATTTTCATGACCAGAGTTTTCTTTTTCACTTAAGTAGGGTTGTCTGGATTAAGCACAAGACTAAGCAGATCATAACTATTCTAATTACTCTTTTTCCACATGCCTTGTGTCACACATTTGAACTATATATTAAACACATATTGGCAATAGATTGGTATAAAACACCTTAATTAAATTTCCGTTAAATAAGAGATAGGCTGGCAAGAAGAATTTGGATAACTTGCTACCTTACTTAGAAGGTGAAATGTCCATATATTAAGAAGAAATTCTAAATGTTAAATAAAGTACATTATCTTCTTAAGTCCATTTGATCTTTAAAAATTTGTATAGTCAATAAATGGAATTTCTTGCCTTTTCCCAAAGGACATGATATTGCTTTGTACCTTCATGTAATCATTATGATGATTAATGGAGATTGCTCTCATGGATGTATTTTTCTGAATGTGAAAGGTCTGCATTCTTTATTTAATCCTCATCTAAGGATATGTTTTTTTTTTTTTTTTTTTTTAATTGATGTTTAGAAAGAGAGGAAGGGAGAGAAAGAGAAACATGGATGTGAGAGAGAAACTTTGATCGATTGCCTCCTGTACATACCCGACAGGGGATCAAATCTGCAACCTAGGTATGTGCTCTGACTGGGAATCAAACCCACAACCTTTTGGTGTATGGGACGATGCTCCAACCAACTGAGCCACCAGGCTGGGGCAGAAGTCTGCATTCTCAATGTTTACCACAAACCCATCGCAGTTGATGATCGGTTTGAAGGTCAGTCAGTTCTTCAATAGCTCTCCAGCTACACTGGCAGGCATATGCCCGTGTTCCTTTCTTCTCCACCAACTTTGTTTTTAATTTGTGGAATTCTGGCACATTGTTCCTATTAGTAAAACATGAATGTTTTAGAATAGTCGCTTTGGCAGTGCTTAATGACAAAAAAAAAGTTCGAGTTGCTTTAATTTCCCATCTTTACAATATCTGAACACTCAACAAACCTTGGTTCCCCTTACACAAACAACAGAAGATATGTTCTTTCTGATGTTATTTCCTTGGTACGTAGTACTTTTTAATGGCAATTCTCTAGGCCTGTTTATTAATACTGTTTAAAACCCAATGACCTAAAAGGCTGAAGAACTACTGGTTTGTCTTATAAGAGAAGACACGATATGAGAATAGAGTGAATTGCTTGCCTTTTCAAGTGAGCTAAAATCAAGTGAATTGCTTGCTAAGTGAATTGCTTGCTAAGATCAAGTGAGAATAGAGCAAAAAGGATGGTGGTCCAATTCCCATCTCAGATACTTACTATGATATGGCAAGTGGAGGATATAAGAGGCACAAAAATAATAGGCTTCTGATGGGTTAAGTACAGAAATTTTTCATTACTAGAGAAAAAGTGCCTGTTATTTCTATGTGTTAAACTGACATTGTATCTTTCATTTTCTAATTTACTTATAGTATCAGCAACAAAAGAAATGCCTAACCTACATTAAATGACAATGTTAAAACAATTAAATCAACTGGCAAGACCAACATGAAAATGATAACCATCTGATTTGATGCAATTATAAAAAAAGACTAGAGAAGTTAATTTAAGTTTAATTAATTGAGAGTCAATTATGATTTTCATGATAACCTGTGTATTGAATTTATGTAATTATTCCATGGCAGAAGAAAAATAGAAAAATTCCAAATAAAATTATTAAAAAATGCAAAGTAAAAGGGTGAAATACAATATTAATATTAAAAAGAGACACGATCCTATCTTTGCTTTTTGTGTCACTGCAATAGAAGGCAGGCTACAAAGTGCCCTCTGGTGGCCAACGGACACCACATTCACTACTGTACTATACAAAATCCAGACACAATTTTGAAGGTTGGAACCTCACAAAACCTGAGAGACTTTCCAGGTCAACTGTCTGATTTCAGGAAACTGAGACTTGGACCAGCTAAGTGACTTAGCTAAGGTTATAGTGAGCCCGGGGAAGAAATTAATCATACAAGTTTTATCAGAAAAAAGAAAAATCCACAAAAGTTAATGTGTTTAATGAAAACTAAATAGTTAAATGAAGAAAAAATGTTCTTTATTCAATCTGCAATATATTTTGACAAATTTAACATCTGATACTTGATTGAATCCTTTAAAAAATTTTTTAAAAAATTGATTTGAGAGCCCTGGCTGGTTTGGCTCAGCGGTTGGAGCATCGGCCTGCGGTACAGAGAGACCTGGGTTCGGTTCCCGCTAAGGGCACGTACCTCAGTTGCAGTTTGTCCCCGGCCCTGGTTGGTTGTGTGGGTGGCAGCCACTCGATGTGTCCCTTCACATTGATGTTTCTCTCTCTCTCTTCCTCTCTCTCCCTCCCGCTCTAGCTGAACAACAACAAAAAAAAATGGAAAAATGTCCTTGGGAGAGGATTAAAAAAAAAAAAAAAAAAAAAAATTGATTTGAGAGGGAAAGAGAGAGAGAAACACTGATGTGAGAGAGAAACATCACTCAGTTGCCTCCTGTGCACAACCTGACCAGGGATCAAACCCACAACCTGGGTATGTGCCCTGACCAAGAATCGAACCAAAGACCTTCTGATGCATGAGATGATGCTCCAACAAAATGAGCCACACTGGCCAGGGTGTGACTGAATCCTTAATTCGACTTTTTAGGAGTAGGAATCATGAACAGCCAGGGAACTAATTACTACATTTCAAATGCTTTTTAAGAAGCACATATCAAGGAGAAACATCTGTAACAACAACAACAACAAAAGAATAAAAAAAAGAAGCACATATCTTAAAAACCTAGAAAAATAATTTCATTATTTCCCATAAGGAAGATGATTTAATAGAAAAATAAAAACATTTTGTTCAGCTTTTATGGCACGATGATCAAGTACAGATTATACTTCTTTTAGAAAGTTCTAAAACTTGTCAAAGCTAGAATTCAGTTACTTCTCTCATTTATAAAATAAGGGCAATAAAACAACAGCATGGCGTTTCACTGTATAACCAATGTTCAGACTGACACACTAAAAATAAATGGCTTCCCATGTTCTGCTGGGCATTCAATGGCACTCTGTAAACTTTTTAACTTGTTTTCGGTCACCACCTGCTTCTGTATCCCCTCAGTGATTATTCCCTACCTTCTTCAAGTGTTTCATCTACCCTCTATTCCTTTACTTTCAGCAGATCACATCCTCATGCACAAAGCCAGGCCATCAGATGTTAAAAGCCTTCCATCTCCTAGCTTTCCCCATGAATACATAAGTTTCTTACCTCCTTTCACCCAAAGAGGGTGAACTCCTCTTCCCATCCAAGGCTCACTTTCCATCCGCACTCTAGATCCCCAGGTCTCCAGGACCTTGGTACTCACATACGCTTACCCTCCCGTATCTCCCCTACCCCTCACAATATCAAAGCACCTCCTGCCTTAACTAATTGGTCCCTTAACTCTGAACTCACTGACAGGCTTCCAAGATGCCTTCCTGGGTCATATAATCCAATCTCATGGTTTCAATTACCATGTTACAGGTTACATTTCCTACCAGAGTTTCAGAGCCACAGTTTCAACAGCTACTATAAATGAACATATAACTTCCTCCTTCAAATCTGTTTGTAAATTCCCTCTATCAACAGACAGTGTCATCATCTATCTATGTAAACCAAGACAGAAACCTAGGACTCATTCTAGATGACATTTGTCTCTCACTTTTCACAGCCAGGACTACCTCTAAAATATCTCTCAAATACATCTACTCCTCTCTACCCTCCTCACTGCCATAATTCAGACTGTTATTTCTGTTCCACTGGATTATCATAACATTCTTCAGTAAACCTCATGATTCTAAATTGGCCTGGTTCCCATGCATTCAAATTCTATTCAGATCTCTCTCCTGATTAAAAGCCTTCAGTGGTGCCTTGACCGGTTTGATTCAGTGGTTAGAGTGTCTTCTAGTTTAATGTCCAAGATCTCACATTCCCCAACCCCTTACACCTGACAATGATTGACAGTGTCTGTGCTTGATTCTGTGTAAAAATAAAGCTTTTCTTCCTCATTAACAGACAAACAAACAAACAAATAAATCCAGGCTATCACAGATCTAGAGTAAACCAATTGATGTTCTTGATATCTCTGAGACACCACAAGTTCCTCAAGTACCAACTAAATCACCAACATGCTTAATGGCTGTGCTCACCCCTGTTTTGATATTACATGTATTCTGTTATCCTGTACTAGTTCTATAAAAATTGATGGTTCATCTTGGTGACATACGGGAATTATTAATCACTCATTAGATTAACCAGAAGTAGTATCTAGCAGAGGATTTAGAAAAGTCAGAAAAGTTAAAACAGACTTGAAATTAAAAGTTAACTTTTCCAACTATGGGATTAAAATGAGGCTAACCTGACCTGGAATTTTGGGAGTGCACTAGGCTTTATTTGGATTGAGGACTGTGAAACCTCTTAAATTATAATTTTTCCATATATTTGTACATTTCAATTTATTTGTGTTTGTGGAGAGGATTCAAGATGTTCCTAAGATTTTCAAAGCATTTTTTGATGTGAAAAAGTTTAAAAACTATTAAATTAGAGGAGACTCTTAGGAATTTGCATGAGATGGCTGTGGGAAGAGGTGTGGAAGACTCACCCTTTTCCTTATGCTATTGGAAAGTGCTATAATATATTATGACTATTCTATCTGAAAACACAGTCTTTGTCTAGGCACAGGTTAGGGGAGCCAAAAATGCATGATATATGCGCTATTAATTTTTAACTTTAAATTTTTATTTAAAAATGTGAATACAAAGTTTATATTTTTGTAACTTATAGTATCTTTGAAACATCAGGTAGTCAGTAGTGTATAAAAATGTATAAATTGAGAAAGTATGAGTAAGACTATCCTGACCACAAGGAGGGAGGCAGACATATATTAACCTAAGATTTTCAATCTTATATTACAGTGAGTGCTATAATAAGTATAAAGTGCTGTGGGCACATAGGAAAGGATGAATTTACTTCCAAGTTGAGAACGGGGAGGGAATCATGGAAGATGCATAATGAATTATACCCTGAGGGACAGGTAGGGTTGAGGTAGATAAAATGGGAAGGTATCCCAGGAGGTGGAGAAATTGCATGCATTCATGGAGAATGGGAGTATTGAGTAATTTGATGTAGCTAAAATCTTGTGAAGGAGATAAGTATCTTGTGGAGAGACAAAGCTGGGTGATAGATAGGGGCTGGATCGTGGAGGGTCTTGGATGCCACACTAAGGAATTTGGACATGATGCCGTAAGCAGAAGGGTGATGGTTAGGAGAATGGCATATTCTTAGTTATGCTTGAATTCTCGGCAAGGAAAAGGCTGTGTGAAAGAAGAGACTGTAGGCAGAAAAGTCAGTGAGAGGGCTATCTCTATATTCTTGTCCAGAAGTAACATGTTCTTACCTAGGCTGACAGCAGACAGATGGAAAAAAGGAGATGGATAAGAGAAATATTGAAGAGGTAGAGGCCACACAATCTGGCCAAGTCCACCAAGAGACATAATAGTAAGACAAGAAACATAAAACTATACTTGGTACATTTTTCATGGTGAAATTCTTTAGAAGCATACCTGAAAAACAGATAATCGCATGATCTGTCCCACATATAGTCATCGTAGCTTACTACCCAGAAATCACACGCTATACAACGCAGACGGTCACATGCTCTGTTCAGAGAAAAAGAACTGTACATTAAAGATTATTGTTATGTTTAAAAATAAAAATAAGGTCATTTATCCATAGGATATACCACATATTACAAATTACTGAGCAAACAACAAAAAAGTAAAGATTAAACTGACTATAAATTTTTATACTAAAGGACTAATTATATATCTAAACTTTCAGGTTAAATTTCTACACAAACTATTTTACTAACATCTTCCACACTAATACATATGTGCACACATGTATACTGTACAGCTATAAAAGAAACAAAATGGATGTGTAGATCTTTTAGTTCAAGGTTTTCGAATTGTGCTTGAGGGAGGTCTTCACTTAAGCTAACTACTTTAAGATACTTCCTTTCCTATTGAAATTTGCAAAGATGCCTTTATCACAGAATTTATATTATATTGAAATGAATCTACCCCGCCCCTCCAGTTAGGTGCTGGGACAGTGGTTGAGCATCGACCCATGCACCACCAAGAGGTTGCTGGTTTGATTCCTGGTCAGGGCATATGACCAGGTTGTGGGCCAAATTCCTAGTGGGGGGCATGCAGGAGGCGGCCAATCACTGTTCTCTCCCATTTATGTTTCTCTCTCTCTCTCCCTCTCCCTTACTCTCTCTCTAAAAAATAGCAATAAAGAAAAAAATAAAAAATAAAAAAAACAAAACAAAAAACAGGGTGAGGCAAAGTAGGTTTACAGTTGTGAGTACATGAAACACAGTTTATTCTTGTATTATTATTCACTAATTATTGTATTATTTTCCACACGAACAATTGTAAACCTACTTTTGCCCCACCCTGTATTTACTGAAATACTATGTGCTAGTGAGATTTTTGTCCTCATGGAACTGAAATTCTAATGAGAAAATAAACAAACAATACTCATCACAATGTTAGAAGATAAAAAATGCTTCAAGCGAAATACTAAGTAGAATAAGAAAAATGAAATTGAGAATACTGGAGGGAGCAGTCTGCAAAGCCCACTCTGAGAAGGTGTATCTGAGCAGTTTAAATGGAAGTGGATTTAAGAGCAAGCTTTATTTAAAGAGGAAGGGAAAAAAGCATGTTTGTATGTTGATGGTAAAGATGCAGTGAAGATCAAAATGATACAGGAAAGAAGGCAGAACTGCTAGAATTACGCTTAGTGAATATCTGAGGAATTCAAATGCCAAGCAATTCTCAAAACTTACATACTACATAGTGACTTTAGAAGTAAAATGGAGTAATCTGACAATATTTATAAATTGCTGCTGCAAACAATTTGATTTGTATAATAACTGTGATTTACTTTAAAGAAACCTCTATTGTTTGAAGTAGAATCAGTATAGATACATTTATTTGATCACCTAAAAATGAAAAAGAAATAAGAATTTTTAAGATACCAGAAGCAGGAACATTTGACATCTTGCTTCCTTGGGAATGTCATCAGTTTGGCTCAAATAAGCTCTTATAAAATTTTTCAAAGAAAAACCTCCCAAAAAACAAAAACAAAGTTTTTAAGATACCATAAAGCAAAGTGAAAAACAGAATAGAAGACAATATTTTCAGCACATGGTCCAATACTTACTTTTAGTATACAAAGAGTGTTTACAAATGACAGCAAATAAAGACAAGGGTTAAAAGTATATCCAATCTCACCAGTATAGATATTATAGTAGTTAAGGGCGTAGACTCTGAACACAGTTGAATCAGTAGGTTCAACTACAGATTCTACTATTTACTAGCTGTGTAACTATAGTCAAGAAACTCAACTTCTCTGTGATTCAGTTTCCCTATATGTAAAATGGGGATACTAATAATTCTTACACATCTTTTAGAAATAGTATGAGATACTAATGAGTTAAGATCGGTAAAGTGCTTATAATGGTGCCTGGCACATAGTTTTTGTTAAAAGGTGAAATACAACAAATAATTAAAATTTAAAGCAACAACAAAATAAATCTTTAACCAATCTAAGTTCGCAGAAATTAGCACTCTTAGATATTTCTGGTGGGTACGTGAACTGCTATAACCTTTGGGATTATTTTAAAGTTAAATTTATCCCTTGCTGTTGCACTAGCAATTGCATTTTGGGGAATGAAAGCACCAACATAAGCATATACCTCAAGACTTTCTACTATAGTATTGTTGAAGTGGCAAAAAATAAGACACTACTTGAATACCTACAAAAAAGGGAAAAGAATAACATGCAGTTGTATTTATCTTATGGAATATTAGGTAGCTGATAAAGAGAACTAATTTAACCACTGACCTAGACGGTTGTCGAAAGCAAGGTGCACAGCAACATATATAGCATGATCCTATTTTTGTAAAAACAACAACAAAAATTCCTATACAAGTGTTTATAAGGTAAGAACATGGGAAAAATGTGGAAGGTAACATACTATGTAGCCCACACTGGCTGTCTCAGGAATGATGGGAAAGGAGGAAGGAAAGGAGATTATTACTTCTCTTTATACATCTTTCAAGTTTGTTTTTATTTTTTTCAATAAGGACATAACCCTTCTGCAATTAAAAATAATAAAATAAAACCCACTATGAGATATTTTTTTACTTATTTCTCTTAAAATTCAAATATGGTAACTTCAAAATTGCAAATTTTTTTGGCCTTTATTTAAGAAGGGAGGGAAAGATTCCTTTGAGAATAAATGCTTTCTATTTCTAAAATTACATTTAATCTTAACAGTAACTAAACATTCAAAATCTATGCAAGTTTCATAAGCAATTCCATATTTTCTTTTGAACTGTTAGCAATTTATGAAGTTGTATTTGTACATACAGAAATTCAACACAATTATATTCATATACATCTGAACTTGGATTTTGAATGTACAAAGTCAGGAAATGCAAAATGATGGCTCCCAAAGCTGCCATAACTTGCTTTCTTATGCATATGTAGTTTATTACATGATTGCACAGAGTGTTAACTTTAATGCCTTAATACATATGTGCAATTTGGCTGAATTATTGCTGTTGTGGGAACTATAATTTTGAATTTCCTGACGTTTTGTATGTGTAAAATCTCAACCATAATGTTACATACAGCTTTTTAATTTAATTTAAAATTTAGTAGTTTATTCAAATCTATTCACACTACCACAGTTTCCTACAAACACTGTCCTTTGAGAAAAATAAAACTAACTTGCAGCTAAGAAATCATTCTGCTGCTACAATTCACTTTGTTAGATCATAATTAGTACCAGTCTATGGAATAATCCAGTCTGGTTAAGTAGTTTAAAAAATAATTAGTAGTAAAATTCGATTTGGCTTGAAAATAATGCCTTGGTTTTATCTATACCTTATTAATGCTGCCACGCTTACTACTACTCCTCTTTCTCCTTTCCACCAACGGGGTAAGAAACTCAAATCTTTATACTCTAAAATCATTGAGTATTGCTCCTAAACTAGAACTCTACCCAGAAGTCAAACAAATAAAACACATGGAAAATAGGCAGAACAGATTCAATTTCATTTATGCTCTGGGCATATACATTAAGTGCTTATTTTCAGGGTTTAAAAATATTTCTCTTCTATAACTATGTATAACTAGCTTATCTAAAATAAAATCATGATTCTAATGAAAGATAAATTAGGTTTCTTTCTCTAAAATGTGGAGGCAATAGAATATGAAGGTGTCAGTAACAGTTTTGTCCCTTTGTCTAGCCAATATGTAGAATGTTTATTATTTTTAAAGACGTTTATGGTGGGAATGCCCCTGATAGCCTGATATAGTCTTCTTCTTAGACCCCGTGGTTCTTAGTTAAATCCTGTCAGATTTATAGAGTGGACTAGGGACTCTTGATGTTTAGACAGTTGGAAAATAACAGCAGCAACAGTAGCAAAAACAGCAAATATTCTCCCCTCTTATATACTTTACATGGCCTTATACAAACTGGTTTATTAGAAAGCATAATGGAGTAGGAATCAAGTTACACATCTGAGTTCTTACTTTGTAATACTTTGTAACCTTGGGCAGGGCACATTACTTGGGAGTCATTCTTAACAATGTTCTCTCTTAGCCACTAAATTCACTGACTTTTGTCAATTCTAGATTCTAAATAGTTCAAATGTGACACCTTTTCCCTATAGCCACTGCCACCACTCAGATCACAGCTACCATTATCATCTCTTTCCTGGACAACTGTAACTACTGCCTGCTGACTGTCTCTCTGGGTCCTCTCCTTGCCCCTTCACCTTCCAATCCATTTTCTATTTAGCAGCTAAAATAACTTTCTTTAGAAACACAAAAAAGATTAGGTGACTCCATCTTCTAAAAGTGCAACCACCAATGGCTTTCATTGCATATATGACAAACTTTTTCTAAAATCTTCTAGAGGACTGCAGGGCTGTAAACCAAACGTCCCTCAACTGCTCTCCAGCCCCATCAGTATGCCCATACTCACCATGCTACAGCTCCCCTAGCTGCTCTCTGCTCCTCCAACACTCTTTCCCAGCTCATGGATCATCCAACATGGCATACTTTCTGGCTCCAATGGTTTCCCTCTTTGCTAAATTCCAACTCATTTTTTTCATATTGTAGTCTGATTCAATGTTACTTGCTTAGGGAAGAATTTTCCAGCCCTTCATATTACCTGGGGTGCCAATTACCTATGCTTATAGTATTCTGTACTTTCCCCTCACATAACATATTATGTGAAAATTAAATACTTATTTTTGGAGTTGTTTAAAGTCTCTCTCTTCATCCAGACTGAAAGCTCATTGAGTGTAGCTTCTCATGCTGACTGTTTGACCAACTCAGTATGGGGAAACATCATGAAGCTGCATGGCTGCACTCTTTTGCCTAGCTTACCGACTGGCTTCCAATGCCCAGCAGGTAAAAATGGCAAAGCATAAGCTCACTCTCCTGGTGTCCTGTGTAAATCAAGCTGGGACTGGTATGATCCAGGCACTTCAAGTGGGGCTCAGAAAAGGTGTCAACACAATGAACAGCATAAACCCAACATCACAGCTTTCAACAGATATTGCCCAAGAATAACAAAAGATTTCAGTAAAGTGCTCTTGGATTGACTAATAAAATATAGCTCTCATTATGAAACAGACTGATGCCAAATGACAACTATGTTTTAACAACAGGGTATCAATTTGGAAAACCTAGCAAGAAAGTGTATTTCTGACATCCCACCTCTGTGAATTAGTCGTTCCAATACCACATGGAGCAGTGCTTCCACCAAGGTACACCGGGCTGCAACTAGACATGTTTAACAAATGAGAGAAAAATAAAATTACAAGAAATATGAGAAGTTAGTCTGGCTTTGTTGGCTCTAAAGTCTTATAATCATATTGTATATTTTTCTGAGAAAGTCAACTATTTTAAAGAAGAGATATTTATTCTGGGATCACTGCTTTATTGGATATAACCTGTATATTCAGGAACACTCAAGGAGTTAAAATGAGTCACAGAAAAACGTGTTTGCCAAATAATGTAAGGGACAAAGTAAATACTGAAGAATATAACAGAACATTAATTTTGAAAAACTGTTCACACTCATTTTTTTTCACATGGCAGAAAATTATTTACAATAGCAATAATCCCTCATTCAAGTTCCTTTACACTAAGGGGTCACAGACCATAAGAACACTGAAGATATTGCTATTGGTCTTTCTCCTGAAAGCCACCCAGTGCTTTGTTGTTCAATGTCGATGTTATTTAAATGGTAATAAAATCTACTAGACTATGCTCACAGTGTTTGTTCACTAGTGTGTATAACTTACCAAAGCAATCTCACCTTACCTTTTACCAAGACCTTGAATGGAAGCTCTGACAGATGTGTTAGCTGAAGATTTAGGTTTCAATTTCTGTTAAAAAAAAACAAAACAATGAAAGGCCAAGAGTAACTTAGATAATTGTAACATGAAAACGAATACTCTTTATATTTTTTAAAAAACTTAAATAAAAAATCTGTATCATTTTAAAGTTTCTGAAATAAAAACAATGATCAAAACCTTTTTCTTAAAGGCAAAAAGGAAGTAGACCTCCCTGAGGAATTTGCAAATTACTCTGCTTTTAGTCTAGGAAATTGATATACTGCCATTATTAGCATGCTAAGATTTAGAGTCACTTTATAACTCTTCAATTAATACTAAAGTTCAGTGATTTAATATGAAGGACCTTCTATTTAAAACCTCATCCTGGAAAAATTCAATTGAGGAGGAAAAAAAACCTCAGACTCATTTTTAAAGGCTGTGAATGGTACTCACCTGAACTAAAAATAAACTAACCAAACTCCTGGGTAGCTTCAGGAATATTAATTTTGATCAAATGGAAAAGTATCAACCAATAGGCATTTGAGGAAAATGTAGAGCTACCTAGTCACAACCCTACAGTAGTTCCTATATGGTTACATAACATCATCATCATTAGCAGGCATTTATTAAGTGTTAACTGGTATACGGTACCAAACAACATAAACCAACCTACATAACAGGACCACCGCCAAGGAGAGGAAGTGAGACGGAGAAAAGGCAATTTAAACCATGCAGAGACATGCCTTCATTTTACCTAGTAGGTGAGGAAATTTAATGGAGGCAAAAATATTTCATTTTACTATTTTTATTTGGTGTTAAACAGAACTGGAAAAATTTGGGGTGTATGTCTCAAAAATAATGTGCATGAGTTTCTGTTTTTTGGAATATGTTTCATGAGCCATCCAGGCTTATGCTTATGGCTTGAAGCTGGCACACTGTGATGTTTACTATTGTTTGTTTTTTGTGTGTGTGGGTCTGAGAGCACTTAAGAAACACAACAGATTGGGTGAGCAGTGGGGGAAGGAGCAGTACTCTCAGGAGCATGATCTGGCCTCTGAGGACAGGGTGGGCATGGACCAGCCATTCAGATACTTTTCCTCATCCAATCAATGTTTTACATAGACCTATTCTCCTTCAGAAGTTTATTTGGGTTGCTTTTCCCCCCTTGTAGGCTGGAAAACTGGATATAACTAAAAAAGGTGCATACAGAAGTACATAAAAGTTTATTTCTTCATGATTGTAAGAGTTACTTTTATTTCAAATTTGTGTATACGTGTGTATGTATATTTTTTTTGTTAATTCTCACCTCAGGATATTTTTTACATTGATTTTTAGAGAGAGGGAGGGAAGGATGAAAGAGAGAGAGAGAAACATCAATGTGAGAAAGACACGTTAATTGGTTGCCTCTTGCATGCACCCCAACCTTGACCAGGAATGGAACCTGTGACCCTTCGGTACGCAGGCCAATGCTCTAACCACTGGGACACACAGGCCAGGGCTCAAATTTGTATATCTTAAAGCCAAGCCATAGAAGAATTTCCTTCTGCTGCTGAAATGCCATGAACTGAAGAAATAGTGCCTCATATACAGATACACACCCTGTTAAGTACTTAATAATTAATTGCTCAGGTGACCAATAAATCACAAGAACATCATGCAGTTTATTTTTTCTACCACTTATTAAATCAGCATAGCTCTTTTGCATTTATGATGCATTCTTGTTCACAGTATTCAACACCATCACTATTGGGTTGACATGTTATTCAACTAGGCCATCGGCTTATTACTTTACCTCAGAGTAACTGAAAATGTTAAATTTAGAGAAATAAAGAACTTAAGTCTATACTAGTCATTTTATTGTTCATCTGGTTGACAAAAATGTAAGTAGCCCATATTCATATCCTTAACACCACTACTGCCCAGTGGTTGTCAGTCCACTGTCTTGCTTTAATCTTCTCTACCTTTTTAAAAAACCTCTTAGGTATTATATTTATTTTTTAGATTTTTTTCTTTGTGGTCCTTGTAACTTAAGACTTTCATTTGGTCTCTTTTTAAAAAATCTAACAAATATATTTTGCAACCACCAAATGGTAAAAATTAAAGCATACCCTACTGTAAGAAGAATATAAATGATACAGCACTTTGGAAAACACTTTGGCAATGGATAAAAAAACTGAAAATGAGCACACGTTAAAACCTAGCAATTCTTCTTCAAGGTTTATACATCCTAGAGAAACTAGGATGGGTAAAAGAAGAATGCAAAGATACCTGATGTGGCGCTATTTGGAAGAGCAATAACTGGGCATAATTTAAATGTCCATCACCAGGCAAGTGGATAAACAAACTCGTAGAATTACATAACAAGCTATTATACACCAATGAAAATTGTTTATGGTTACATACCTTTGTAATAAATGTATAAACATATGGATAGAAAGGATAGTGGTTACCTCTGGGAAGGAAGGCAGTAAGTAGAATTTGGAGAGTTCTTCTACGGTGTCTATGATTTTTATTTTATTTTTTTAAAATGTTTTTATTGATTTTTTTGAGAGATAGAAACATCAATATGAGAAACATCGATTGGCTGCCTCCTGCATGCCCCCTACTGGGGATTAAGCCCACAACCTGGGCATGTGCCCTGACTGGGAATCGAACTGAGACCTCTCAGCCCCTGGGATGATGCTCAGTCCCCTGAGCCACACTGGCTGGACTAGACTTTTTATTTAAAAAAAAAAAAAATCAAGAAAAGTAAATACGGCAAAACATAAAGTTGATGTAGAACATAAGCATTTAAATATTTAAAATAATAATTTACTCATGGGTCATGGGATAACAGCAATGGCATTGCATCTGAGACCCTAAGCACATTCCTATGTAAAAGCTGTTTGTTTCTGGTCTTTCAGAAAAGTGTTCTTATAGAGTCTACATATAATTACAGGTAACCAACTTCAACTATGAGTTGACTTTTGTTCTTGCTGAGAAATGAATAGCAAAACACATACTGAGAGTTTTTAATACTTTATTTCTTCTACAACTCTAAGTGGAATAATTTATTTAGATAATATTTCTCAGAATGCAAAGGACTATAGATACTTGTGCATGCTATAAGTTTTCAGACTATTATAAACATATCTCAAAAAGTGAAAAAAACATTACTGTTTATTTATAACACTTGACTTACAAAGGATTTTTTATCAAAGTTTTGATCTTCAAATATTTCATTAATAAGACTGTCAAGATCATCTTCTTTTTTAAATCCTTCTGTTGATCTGAAAAACAAAACAAAACAGCTGAAGCTTAGGAGCATATAAAGTCGGCCAGTAACAGAAGAGTTTTATTTAAATAAAGTGTATTCTTAGAGTTGATAACAGAAGACTAAATGTGACATTAATTTTTTTCCTGCTATATACATAGCTTAGGTTTGCTGACAACAATGTAGGTTGTCAGTTACAAATTTACATACTTAATATAAGACATTTAAAGCTATACATTATATTCAAGAGAAAGCTGGGCATGTACTTTAAACATCAACTGCTTGTTTAAAGAATATAAAATATATACAATTTTAAGTAGAACCTGAGAATTATAAACACAGATAATTTTAATCAGTCTAACTTTTTCCCTATGAGTTTCACTGTAAGCCAAATAAATATTTTCAGTAGAGGAGCCAAAGGTTATATAATCAAATGATCAATACCAAAAAAGAGAGCAATATTTGTTAGGCAGAATATTTCAACTATCTTTCTACTCTTAGCAGGTAAAGCCATCACAGGATTATTGATTCAAACTGCTACTGCATGGAACTTCAATAGCTAACATTTACTGAAAATTTACTATATAAATGAAGAAACAGGGACTAGGAGATTCAGAAACTTGCTCAAGGTTGTACAAACAGATGTTGTACATCAACTTGGTAACTTCACTGGACCATTAGATTATACTAGAAGACAGGTTTTTTTAGTCAAACTTCAATTTTAGAAACATATTTACTCTGAAAAATTCTTAACATTGGGACTATAGTCCTTCTTTTTATAGCCTGTAGTAAGATAATTTATCTGATGGAAGGAAATCCAGAGACTGCTGCCTAATGGTGAACACCTGACTCCATCTAGCTTTGCCTTTTTGGTTGTTCCTTCTCTTTTATGCTTAATGACTGCCACTCTGTACTAGCTTCTTCCCTTAACTTATAAGGAGGCTTAAGACTTTGTTCTTCAAAAGACACTACAAAAAAACCCCCTTGAAGCCGCCATTCTCTTTACTCACTATTGAAGAGCAGTCTATATTTATTATTGCTACTTCCTTACAAATATATTGGATTTAGGATCAGCTGGTGATCTGGATGAGGGTTTCTCAACCCTGGACTACTGATGTTTAGGGCCAGATAATTCTTTGGTGTTTGTGTTGGGGGTGTGGTGGTGGTGGTGGTGTGTGTATGTGTGTGTGTGTGGGGATGATGTGCACTATAGGATGTTTTACACTGTCTATGACTTCTACCCAGCAGATGCCAATAGCACACCCTTCCCCAGTTGTGACAATCAAAAATGTCAAGACATTATGAAATAGTACAATCATCACTGGTTGAGAATTACTAACCTAGCTTCTCAAATCTCTCTGAATCTCCATTTCATCTGTAAAAAGGAGATCTAGACAACAATTTTCTTTTAGGTGTAATATTCTATCTCTGGTCTCTATATCCCTCTATTATAGTGAAACTTAGTGATTTGGTCACTACTGCCCAAATCACTATATTAATTGGGGTTTCTCAGTTCCAATACTTTTTAATCTTCAGAAGCATCTGACATTATTGGGTACCAAGTCCTTCAATTTATTTTATGACAGCAGGTTCCTCAGATGTCCTGTTGAAATTCTCTCCTCCTTTTGTTTTTATGATACACTCTCTGGGTTCTGCTCTCTCATGCAATTTCACAATTTCAAGAATCAGATGCATTCACATTCTACCAACCTAATCAATACTGTTAAGGATCCAAACTGTCAGTTTACATAAGATTCTAGTCTGTTATTAGATCACACAATCTCATAATGCCTACATTTGCCTATGCTTTGCTACAGAAATGGAAAAAAGGCTTGGCCAGTTTGGCTCAGCGGTTAGAGCATCGGCCCGTGGACCAGACAGAAATGAAAAAAAAAAAAAAAAATGCCATCATTTCATTGAGAACTCATACAAATTTTAAAGGACAGTGTAATATATTTTTAGTCTTTTGATGCCACAATAATCTTAATTGAAGGCTAATAAACATTTATTGTCCCTCCCCAACTTTGCTTCTTGTAGTCTAAATAAAAGAAATATAAACACTTGAAACCCAGAATGTGAAAAATATATATAAAAGCTTAAACTCTGATCTACAATGCCTGGTAGAGTTGAAAATATGACCTTGGCCAAGAACTCTTTTTCTAAGTCTTGGTTTGGTCAATGAAATGGGGATGACAGTATTTACCTCATAGGGTTGTGGAGGTTAAATGAAGTAACATATATAAAACACTCAGCATACAGAAAGGACCCAATAAATACTGGCTATTACTATAGCTGTTACCTAGGAGGTTATTATCTGTAAATATTCCCATCTGTATTAGCCTGAACCACTTTACTACTATTGCAGTTCAACTTGCCAGTAGTCTTTTTTTTTTTGTCCTTTATTGATTTTAGAGAGAAAGGAAGGGAGAGAGAGTGAGATAGAAACATCACTGAGAGAGAACATTGACTGGCCACCTCCTACATGCCCCCCACTAGGGATTTGGCCTACAACCTGGGCATGTGCCCTGACTAGGAATTGAACCGGCAGCAACCTCTTGGTGCATGGGTTGATGCTCAACCACTGAGCTACACCTGCTGGGTTATCATCATTCTTTTCAAACTAATCGCACATTTCTTTTTATCATTTGAACGCTTCAAAAAATTGCATTTGTTTTGACCACTTACATTAGCAGTTGTTCCTGGTATCCAGATGTAGTATGGTCATTTATTATATTATTGCAGAGCTATCATTTTAAAAGACAATTTCAGTATTTTAACATTTACAAGGAAAAGATACAGGCCACTTCACTATACAATTGACAGGTAATTTCCTGTTAATAAATTCATAATATAAACTGGTTCCTAACTTTTAAATATCAATTTTGGCTCAGGACAAAATTTTAATGTTTGACATTATACACCAGGTAGGGATTATGTATTTGGTATTAGGTCTAGGGCTTTTGCTGCTGTTGTATAATTAACCTTTACAACTATATTGTCAAATGAAAATTTTAACACAAGACAGCAGTACTGGTTTGCTACAGCTTTTAAAATGTATTAAAGAAAAATGTGATGTAATAAGGAGAGATGGGGTGCTAGAAGCATCATTATGGATGGATTTTAATAGTGCAATAACAGGCTACAGTGACAGGCATAAAAGGCATTAAAGAGACCCGTGTTTGGAGAGCATCCACCTTAGCAGCCCTTTCCATTTTAAGCAGCCTGGTGTAAGATATGCTACCCCTCTGCACCTAGTTCTCTTAAGCCATCAGGCTCAGGAAGGCTCTTGGATAAATTCTCTCCATTCCCCTACTAGTGGTTCTCAACCTTCCTAATGTGGCGACCCTTTATTAATGCAGTTCCTCATATTATGGTGACCACCAACCATAAAATTATTTTTGTTGCTACTTCATAACTGTAATTTTGCTACTATTATGAATTGCCATCAGAAATATGTTTTCCCATGGTCTTAGGCGACCCCTGTGAAACGGCCATTCGACCTCCAAAGGGGTCCCGACCCACAGGTTGAGAACCGCCTAAAGGAAGACTAAAAAGAGTAAAAGAAATTGCAAGGTAACATTGCTGTGGGATAGGGATGGTAGATGTGCTGGGAATGAGTACAAAAGGACCTCCAGCATTCAAGATAATCATACACAAATTAATAAGTGATATTTGCGTACACATCCAATCAAATGAACATTAGCCCATTCAAAGTAGTCATTTCGGTTGGCTCTAGGTTTATTTTGTAGAATGCTGTCCAATACTCAACTAATTTTTAGAACTTGTTTCCAGACTTTAGAATCTTTTCAATGTATCTATCTTCCCAGGGTTTTTGTAAACAAATGTCATTAGAAGTAATTCTGGTAAATTCCTTAACAACGAAGGTGAGAAACACTCCTGGGAAATGACACACATGCACACCAAAAGAAAAGTACCGAGGTAGCCACATAAACGAACAAGAGTGCCCTTCTCGGGTTGTTCCAAAGCTGTGCAAGTCCACAAACGTTTCCGTCTGATTCTAGCAAGAACCGCACAGGCTCACGCTGAAGGACAATTCTCACGCAGGCATAAAGTTTTGTTTTTTGTTTTGGGGATTAAGGGGGTGGGGGAGGGGACGAGAGGAATTACACAGAAGAAAAAGACTGACAAATTCGAGCGGTAGTTTTTTGGATCAAAACCCAAAAGACTTAAAAAAAGTCCCCCGATTCTCTGAGCCAAAGAAAAACAAAAATCAGCTAATGACAACAGAACGGAATTATTTTTTTCCCAACAGTTGGTCCAAGGATTACTCTGCTTGGGGAATGGGGTCAGAGGCAACAGGCTGAGGTTCTCCGTGCGGGCACCTCACCGGGGGATGAGAACCATGTTAGGGGCTCCTGAGAGGGCGCCTAGGGGGCACCTGTCCCCTCCCCCTGCAGGACCCGGGCTCCGTCGGCCTGGGGCAGCGGCGCTCAGGGGCGGGCCCGCTCTGGGGGCAGCCGGGGCGGGGTCAGGCCCTGTGAGAGATGCCAGACCCCTCGGGGCAGTGGAGCTGGGTGTGCGCAGCCCCAACGGCAGGGGCGGAGAATCTTGGCCCTAACAGGGAAAAGGGCTGGAAGGGCGGCTTCAGGGCCTGGAGCAGGCTTTACCCGAGGAGCCCACCCGTCCCTCCCGTTAACCTGAGATTTTCTTTCGCCTCGGCTCGGTTCCGGTCGATACTGAGGGTGCCGCCGCCGCCGCCTCCTTGGCCTGTGGGTCGCTCAGCCATGCCCGGTCTCAGTGGGTCTGGTCTACAAAACTTGGATTCAACCTCATCCAAGAGCTCGTCCAGGTCCTTCGCCATCTTGAATGGCTACGTCTTTCCCCCCTCGCATCGCGGCTTCCCCGGGCGGTTTCCACGGGCAACGCCAGAAGCCGCCCCGCGCGCGCACCGCTGCGCATGCGCGCGGCCCCGAAGCGACTGGCGTTGGCGCTGACGCTCGCGCGGAAGTAAGCTGCGCTCCGCGAGGTCTGGCCGCGCGGGGCTCCCGGGGCGGGGGGTCGCAGCTCTCCCTGCGCGACCTCGCGACGCTTTGCTTTAGCTCGGTCCAGGGTGTCTGGCGGTTTCGTCTCATCTCCCCCTCCTGGGTGCAGATCGCCACTACAATCACATGACTCCCAAGCTCCGTCGTCACGACTCTTCCGGGCTTACTGGGGGGCGTCCCTGTTGTATTCTAGCCCTTCTTAAAGTTCTTTAATTATCTGCGGAAAAATTGAGGAGAATTCTCCCCAAAAAACCAACCAAACAAACAAGAAGAATTAGTAGCAAAAGTTCGGCTTCCCGTAGTCGGCAGGATTCGAACCTGCGCGGGGAGACCCCAATGGATTTCTAGTCCATCGCCTTAACCACTCGGCCACGACTACTGCTGGTATTAATTTTAGCAATGAAATCTATGTGGAACCTATGCACACGTGCCTGCTACAGTAACATATTTGGATGGAGAGAAAAACATTGCAAAGCTGTTCTTTCCGATAAGAGACTATTTTAATGTTACGGCTCTGAGAATTGTAGCTTTCTGGAAGGACTCTTAGAGTAGATCCACTCCAACCCCCTCCCCCCACCCCAAATCAGGAAAACTGATTTCTAGTTGATCTCTAAAGTTAGAGTTAGAAAATAGGAGAGGGGGAGGAGATAGATCCTAGTGCTACTTACTGTACACCTGCTTGCACAGTGATTAAGCCATTTCCAGGAGCGAACCTGAAACCTTGGAGTGGCTGACCAGCCTTTGGGCTTCCTTGCGCTGCCCCCAGCTCCATTTCCCAAACTTGCTTTTAAACAAACAGCTTCCAGAACTCTTTTTTCATCCACTAGTCACTAAAATGCTATTTTCCACCGATGTAAATTCATTATGTCCTACTGTTCCATAAAAGCATACGTTGAAAAGAGTAATGTGTGATAACAAATGTAAAGTATTGTAATTTAATGGTATTCCTAGAAATACTGTACATATGCGACTTGAACTTTGAGTATTTCTAAAGTGGGGGGTAGCAAAGAGATTGGCACCTTTGGAAACTGGAGTTAGTTTGATCTGGATGATTTAGCAAGCTTCATTTATTTGGTTTGCTGTTTATTAAAATAACTTTAATGCCCTGAAGAGCAACCTGCAGTGATATGCTGGAGCGAAGGGTATCTGCTCATTACAGCCCACTGTTAAATTTTTGCCAAGTTTAGGTGTCCGTTGTTAAATGCAAATATTATTAAAAATTAAATTATATAAACTTATAATAAAATTAACTATGAAAACAAAAATAATACTAAAAAATAACCATGGTCTAGTTGCTGCATTACATTTACTATAATTTATGCTGTTGAGATTATTTACATCTATTGTATCTGAAATACTATGCAATGGCTTGCTATTGTGAATTTCTCAATTTTCCACTCAGTGATGTTCTTGGGTAACTTGAAATTGGTCTTCATGGGAAACTTGCAAATGCTACAAAATATGGCTTTTTCTCCTTAAAAGCTTGTTGTAAAACATTTAGCAGCATGCCACTGATGTTACCATCAGACCACCTTGAATACTCCCAGCAAGGCTAAACTCTTTTTACCTGCAGAGCTGCTCTGGTTATTCTCCCTGCAGCTTTGTTTTAGCAACTAGAATCCTGGCATATTGAATGATTTCCCACTCAGTTTTTCAAAAGCCACTTGATATTGAAGTTGACCTTGCAACATGGTTCTGGGGGAGTAATGCATAGATGCCATCCAGTTTAACAGGCTTAAGTTAGTGATTTGATTTTTATCTAGAAAAGATTAAATCTGAGGTGGTAAATGTCAATGTAGTTGACACAGGGTTTAGGGATGCAGACCTCTATGCTGTGGAAAGTCCTCTATAATTTTCGGCGGCTTCTGGTCAAGATGGTGAAGAAGGTAAACATAGTACTTGCATGCTACCATGACAACATCAAAATTACAACTAAACTACAGAACAACCACCATTGAGAACCACCTGAAGTCTAGCTGAACAGAAGTCCTATGACTAAAGTTATATTGAAGAAGCCACGTTGACACTGGTAGGAAGGATGGAGATGTGGGATAAGCAGGTCCCACTCAGCTGTGGAGGTCCCTCTTGAGTGAGGGGTCCCAGCCCCACATGAGGCTCCCCAGTCCAGGTTCCAGTGCCAGGAAGAGAAGTCCCCATAACTTCTGGCTGTGAAAACCAGAGTAGATTGTAACTGAGTGAGCCTGAGGCCTGACGGAGTCCCATGCACAAACTTACTTGCTGACAAACTCACTTGCTCTGAGTTCCAGATCTGAGGCAGCAGCTCAAAAAGCACCAGGAACATACAAGGAGAAACTGAATTGTCCGGCTTCAGGGCGAGGGCTGGAGGGGCAGCTTTCTCTCAGACTGAAGTACTGGCAGAAGCCAATGTTCCTTTGCTGAGCCCTCCCACCATAGGTACAGGTAGGTGCTATATCAATCTCCATCAACCAGTGGCTAATACTGTTCACTCCGCTCTGGTGATTCCCTGAGACTCCACCCCACCCAATATTTGGGCCCATCCAAACTGCTTCCAGTGACTATTTCATACAAATGGCCTATCTTGGTTCATGCTGTGGACTTTCTTAAAATCTGTCAAAGGTTCACAAATGCCAAAAAAGCAGCATCTTGCCTCAGTGTGCCCCATATCTCTTGCTTTGTGGCCCTAGGCCAACCATTAGCGGCAGCCAGCCTTGTTTTGCAGATTGGCCTCTCCCAAGTACTTCCAAGTCCAGCACAAGTGGCAACAATCTGCAGTCACTTTGAATGTTATACCTATGGCCGTGGGCAGGGCACAGGCAATGGCTAACCTTGACCAGCATCTCCCAGAGGCCTTGGAGCCAGCACACCCAGTGGACAGCATTGGACCACATTTGAGCACCGCCCAAACACCTCCATGTGTGATACACTCAGAGGTGAGACTTAGTGGGCACCAGAGCCCTGCTGAAGTGAGTTCTGCTCCATAGGGTCAGCCCCTGCATAGCAGCTCCTCTGCTAAGGTCATGACCAGTCCTGTAGCCAATCAGCCTGGGGGTCAATCCCTTCCATTGACGTGCCAACAGCATTCAAGGTTCAACTACAATAGGAGGGTGCATACAGCCCACACAGGAGGGGTGCATCTGGAGTGCCCTGCTCAGGTGACCTGGGAGACTGTGCCACCGGGCCCCACAAGACACCTATTGTATAAGGCCACTCTACCAAGACCAGGAGATGTAGCAACTCTACATAATAATACATAGACACAAACAAAGGAAGTCATCCAAAATGAGGAGACAAAGAAACATGTACCAAATGAAAGAACAGGATAAAACTCCAGAAAAAGAACTAAACAAAATGGAGACAAGCAATCTACCAGATGCAGAGTTTAAAACACTGGTTATAAGGATGCTTCCCCCAAACTTAGTTGTTCTTTGATGTGCATAGGGTATTTGTTCCAGGAACCCCACAGATACCAAAATTCATGGATGCTCAGGTTTCCAAATATAAAATTGCTAGGTAGGTCAATGCATAGAGCTGGCCCTCCTTATACACAGATTCTCAAACCTAGATGGAAAACAGTACAGGTGTTTATTGAAAAAAAAATTCCCCATTTAAGTGGACCTATTTGTTCAAGTGGACCATGCTGTTCAAGGGCTAATTGTAGGTGAAAGAATCTATTAGTATGTAGAAGATTTGCATAAAGGATTATGAAAAGATAAAAGAGGAAATTTTTTTATTGTGTGTTTTGTTTTTATGAATATCAGAAAAACAACTGCTGCTTGTTTTCTTCTTCCACTCCTGCCCCTCATTTTGATAGATCATCTAGAAGTTGATGTTCTCAGAATTTCATTTATAGCTCATTCAACTCTCCACTGAGACTCCTGACTTCAGTCGTGTTCTGTTTCTACTGTGCCTTAGAGAGAGAAAAGTCTGTGTTTACAAGGAGAAATGCCACATATCACATATGTGTATGACTGTGTGATAAACTGTAAAATGATAGTGCACTATTAAAAATCTCCAGATGTCAGGAGTTATACCCTGTGTGCTTTGGTGGATTCTAAGCAATGGAAGTGGATATGCATGTAGGTATACATAGCTATAGAAGATTATGTATTCATGAAATCATATTAGAAGATAATTAAATAAAACATATCACAGTAGTCCCTTCTTATATGTGGGGATATTTTCAAGACCCCCAGTGGATGCCTGAAACTGTACTGAACCCTATATATGCTATGTTTTTTCCTAGGCATGCACACCTATATAAAATTTAATTTATAAACTAGGCACAGCAAGAGATGAACAACAGTAACTAATAATAAATTAGTCATAATAATTATAACAATATGCTGTAAAAAAAGGTGAATGTGGTTCTCTGAAATATCTTGTACTGTATTCATTCTTCTTATGCTGATGTGAGATGATAAAATGCCTTATTAAGTCAAGAACTTTTACTATTTCACTTAAAGGAAGAACTTTATGGCTTCTCTTTGGCATATCAGAATTGCCAGCATCACTACTCTTGTGCCTTATTAAGTAAAATAAAGGTGACTTGAAAGCGATCACTGTGATACCTTGACAGTCATCTGATAACAGACAGTTTCTAAGTGACTAATGGGTGGGGAGTGTATATATATTTTGGTATTTTCCTTTTGTTTCTCAAAGTGAGGAATTTTATTTATTACCTTTTTAGTCATTAATATGTGTGGACAATGATGTAAAAATTGTCCCCTAATTCTTTACCAGTCTTGGAAAGTATGCTGAGCATGAGATGTTTTATAAAGGAGTTTAGTCAGGTGTCTTCAGATGATACATTACTATATTTAGTGGGTAAAAGGAACATGCCATGTATTATTACATTTACTTAGTATTCCAAGGAAGTAGTCCATGTATTAT